AGTCCGCAGACATACCGCTGTGCCAAGTAAACTGATTTTAGTGCTCGTTATTTCACTTAGCATAAACTTTATTTACTTCTATCACCTAGAAACTGTGTTTAAAATTACAACAAAAGCATAAAAGGTAATGTATTTGGGTTTAATTTTTTGCACTGTATTCTTAGTTTATTGTTAATGGTATAAAGGTGATAAGATACCACAACTTTGCATGGATTAAATTATGCTATAAGAAAAATTAAAAATTACGACCTTGAAATAACCATCAGGAAGAACCGATGAGTTATCTCAAATATATGAAATTGAGTAGCATGTACGTGACATTCAGTAATAAAATGCCAAGAAGATCAAAAGCAGTGTGCACATTTTAAATTATCTTCATTAAAACATAACGTGTATTCAGATTAAATGTCATTCAAAATGTTAAACCTCTAAGCGATAGTGTCTAGGGGGAGGATGCAAGGATCAGCAGTGAACCCTTTAAAAATGGATAAATTAGGGATAAAAGGATGAAACACCAGTAATTTAAATATAGATATTATTTTCATAATAACTCTAAAAAAGAAGAAAGATTTTTATGGGGAAAAATTAAGCTGATATGCTGTCTTTAGAGTGTCTCAACGATTTTCATAGAATTTAAGACAGTTTGTTTATTTATTTGAAACAAAACATTTGCAGTATCACTTTTCACGTACATCCTATTTTGATCTTCTCTGTACGTGTTTGTTCTCCTTAAAACGTTTAAAATTGTTATCTCACCAAGAATTAAGTAATAAGTCTTTTATCTAAGGATTTACTGTCCAGCTATTTCAAATGGCTTTACTCTGTGTGCTTTGACCACTTATTATGGTAATCCGATACCCTAGAGCGGAAACAAGGCAGTAAAGAGCTGTAGTCTGGGTCAAATATATATATATATATATATATATCATAATACAGAAAAACTCGACAGAGTCAGTTATATTAATCTACTTTCTGTTTCAATTAATAATGTTAAATAGTTTGTAGGTTTCATAAAAAACAAAACAAATTCAGATTGTTTGTCCAAAGATAAGTATTTTTTTCTTACATTAGTCTGAATTAAGAGATATATATCTAATATTTGACATCCTGTGAAAATATAAAGCATGATATAGTTCCTGGCGCTCAGAGGTACATCACTGTTCTTTTAAAAACATAGAATTTTGTCTCTAAATGATCCAAAAGTCTTAAAGAGCGTGGGGCGAGTTTGAGCAGTGAATCTAGTAGGAATAGTTAAGTTATAGATAAGGTCATAGTATGTTTCCGAAAGTATCACTGGATTCTCATCGGATATTAGTGGTTTTATGAAAATATTATCTTACTTCAACGGACCAACAATTCAGTGTCTGATAAAGCTAGCTAGCTTCTCGGCAATTGTACGTACATCGACTTCAAGTTAACTCGCTGGATATCAAGGAGACTCTGAACTATAAAGAAGATTTTATGTTATTTGTAAGTCAGGGAAAATTTTTTTATGAAACTTTGTTTGTGGTAACTATTCGTAATAATTGTTGTTGTAAATTGTACTGTTGTGTGTATATTAAAACGTATTTGTGTGATAAATGAAAACGGTGTGTGTCAATCTTGTTGTCAAATAGCGTAAAGTAACTAAATTATCGGCTTCAAACTATTTCAAATTCTCAATACGTAACAATCTATATTCCTAACTAATAAAAATATAAACAAGTCAAAGACCAGCATCATTAACGTGAATGTCTTTATTTATCAAAATCTCTCTAATCACTATCAAATACAGTTTTAAAAATACTATGTTAATTTGAGGACACTTCACTTTTATTTCTATATAATCATATCACTAAAAAAGTCTCTCACAGGGTAGGCGGTACGTTTACGAACTTAAAACGCTAAAATCCAGATTTCGGTTCGTTGTGGTGGACAGGGAAGACAGCTTAATTATTGTGCAGCTTTGAATTGAAACAAACAAACGCTAAAAATAATAACAAGATTGATCAACTTGTTCTTTATAGTATACATAGAGCCCGGCATGGCCAGGTGGTTAAGGCGCTCAACTCGCAATCTGA